GAATCACTCAGCTTCGGTGGACATGATGATGAAGAAGACAATGCAGTGGAGGAGACGAATGTCGACAAGCAGTCTCGTAGGAGACGCTCCCCAAAAATCTAAATGCCCCTCTCCCGTACAGGATCCAGAGAGGCAGGGTTTCGAAGGCCTGCTTTTCCGTCAACCGTGTACGCGGTGGGCGAGAGGGGATCATCGGCGGCAGCAGCAGCAAAAGAAACGACAGAGGGCGGTGCACGTGAAAGCAGAGCGGATGTGATCTGTTCTTCGTGGCGGCTACGCCTCAGTTATATAGGCACGAGCATGGTGGATAGATGTTGGCAGGACCCATGCCCGAGTCGGTAACAGCGCACGATCCGACATCTCATATCGTGGCCCATCTGTTAAGGACTCCTCCATTTCTGATCGGCAAAAACTAAGCACATAGGTTTGAGCTCGGCTCAATCCCACAAATTGCGACGCACGCACGTCATCGGCGAAGGAACACGTGGGAACCACTTCTTTTTTCAAGCTCCAATAATATGTGGAAGATAATCTCTTACAAGGAGATCTAACTCATCTTCCACTAGCAAGGTGTGGACTAAACTTCCCACCACCTCCCTTATCGTCACACCTACGTGGGCCCTTAGAAGTTTTCTAAAATTGTTAGATGAAACCAAGGCACGCCCTATAATATTTCAAAGATCTGAAAAGTACAAATGCAAGGTAAAGCCGCCATTTTATTTTTTTGGTAAAAAGAAGGTAAAGCCACCTCATGTTGTCAAGACGAAGAAATGTTCGGAGTCTACACATCTGTTTGCGTCTTCTTGAGACCGAATCCGTTGTTGAATGACGGCCAAAGTAGGAGGAACACGTGTTCTATGTTGCGAAAAAACAAAACAGAGAAAATTTTAACATGCTCCCTTCATTTTACACCTGAAGTAAGTATGTAAGAGTTAACCAGATCACTAATTAATAAGATCAACGACTCAGATCTAATATATATATCCTTACCGCTCGTGTAAAATGAGGAGGTAGGAGGGATCATGTTAAAACTGCTCAAGCAAGAAGACGGAAAACGTGCTTCCCAGCTTGACTGTTCGTCTCTACTACTAGAAAAAAATGGATGAATTTCTCCATAAAAGAGAGAGAAAACATATATGATGTGATATTAAGCTGAGAAGAAGAAAAATAGATGTGCTGAACCTATATACTCATCCTACGCAAGCAAACAGTCTCTCCGAATCATCCGTCCATTAGCCTGCCTGCCTGCACCGCACATGGCATGTCGCCGCGATGGCGATGGCGATGGCAACGACGAACGGCAGCAGCACCTTTCACCGCGAGCAGTTCCATCAGGCCCCGGTGCAGTGCCCCTCTACCTGCCTTGGCTTGGTCTTGCAGTTGCAGGAGGAGCCAACCAGATGGCCTGCCAAGTTGCCTGCCCCATTTCGGCAGCATGCATCCCCTCCCTGGCGAGCGGCGACGTCTCCACCACCCGAGAGCCAGATGCCAATCTTCTCTTGTCATTCTCTCATCTGCTGATGACGGTGCTGATGAAGGCAATCAGCCCTGAAGGAACAGCGACATCAGTTTCGCTCGCGGTACTGTCGAATCAGGGATTATTGCCGCCTAATCTCTTTTTCACAACTTATTTTCGTTTGTTCCTGCTAAACTCAACCATAATCCCTGTCTCAGGGCTAACTTTCTTTCGGTCACTTCCTTCAATGCTACAGCGTCAGCATTTCACTTGGTCTGAAATTAAACTGGGCAGTTCAGTTCAGTTCAGTTCAGTTACTCATCACTGCTCATCAGAGTGATTGAAGCCTTTCTATTATGGGAATGCTGGCGCCTGGCAGCATTGCTGGCCCATCTGTCTGTCCTTCCTTCCCGACGAATGTCTCCGTTCTAGTTTCGCGCAGTGCATTGCCAATCCCAACTGTGCACTGAACCGCAACAACAGCTTGTCTGCATCACAAGGCTCACCAACTTTCTTTTTCTACTATCTGACTGATGAATCCTCCTGGATGCATGCATGCATGCACAATCAAAGTTCATCAGTCTGACACTGTAACTGTTTTACAGATGCAAGTAAAACTGTTAAAAGTCACCTGAGATTGATTATCAAGATGAAGAAATGTTCGCCACGGGGTTTACCGATATGTCTGTGCTTCCATGAGGCTGAAGCCCTTGTCAAATGACAGCGAAAGTAACAGAAACACATGTTTTATGCCAAGAAGATCATCAGGGAAAGGTGTATCAATACTTGTTGGATGTTACAGTGCGACAGTTCCAGAGTAAACTAAACAGCACTGTGGCTACTTAATTTAGTCTGAAAAACTGGATGTCCTTGGCAATTCATTTAGTTACTTAGTTAGTTATAGATCATGACCATCATTGTTCATCACAGTGTTACCATTACTGCCTCCTGCCTGCCTTGCTACCCATCTGTCTGACACTGTAACTGTTTCTGTTATCTCCTGCCTGCCTCCTCCTGGATGCATGCACAAGGCTCTTCGGTCTGACACTGTAACTGTTTCTGTTATCTTCGGAGAATTTGTTCCTTTCAAGGCTATTATCATCTCTTCTCTGGGTTCACAAACAAGAAAAGAGATAGGAGGTGTGCCTTCTTCTGCCGTGTGGAAATTCTGCTTTTCTCGACGGTCAAGACTATACTGCCGCCGAAATTCGTGCGAGAAACTTACCGGCTAAGGGTCTGTCTGACAAGTGTCAGACGCAAGTTAAGCTGTTAAAAGTCACCTCAGATTGATTGTCAAGATGAAGGAATGTTCGGGACGGAGTTTGTTTACCCGTATGTCTGTCTGTGTTTCCGCAGTTTGTGAATGACAAGAAAAAAAATGTATCAGATGCCAAAGAGACATTTGTCTCATCGCCGCCTCGTTCATGCCGGGTGCCAACGACGATGAGGCCGGACCATCCCGGCCGCCAGTAAAGGATTTTTAGTTGTTTTTCAAAGTTGTTTCAAGGGTTCTTTTGCTATGTAAAAATTGATCCAGAAATGTATGGAAAATCGGTGTCCGTTTTATTGGTGACTCCGGTTGGATGGCCTGCTCCCGTCCGCTGTCCACGGGCATTTGGTGCCGTCCATTTGATGATCTACCTCAGTTAGTTAGTTGGTTAGTTAGTTAGAGATCATAATCATCATGTTCATGAGAGTGATCCAGGCCTTTCTATTCCAGGAATGCTATCAGTAGTACTGACTCCTGCCTGCCTGCCTACCCATCTGTCCTTCATGATGAGTTCTGGTTTATCTCAGATCCTGGTCACCACAGTGTTGCCAGATGTGCAGTGCAGCACAACACTACCATGTCTGCATCACAAAGCTCACCAACTTTCCATTTCCATCTCAATCCTCCTGGATGCACATGGCTCATCGGTCTGACACTTTAACCGTTACTGTTATTTTTGGAGAGCTGGTCCCTTTTTAAGGCTCTCATCTTCAGGTTCAGAAACAAGAAAGCTTTTTCTTATACTATATACTGTGTAGAAATGTTTGCTTTTGTTGTCAATGCAAAGGTCAAAAACTAACCGCAGCCGGAATTCACGCGAGAGACTTACCGGTTACGGGTCTGTCTGAGAAGTACAGACGCAAGTTAGACTGTTAGATTGTCAAGATGAAGAAATGTTCGGCGCGGGGGTTTACCGATCTGCCCGCGTCGTCTCCATGAGGCGGAAGCTGTTGTAAAATGACAGGAAAAGTAACAGAAACACATGGTTCACGGTAAGAATATCGTCGACGTAAACCATGCTTTCCACTTTGGTTGGTCATGTCTCCATCAATGATTTGGAAAAAGAATGCATTGCTACATGATATATCAAAAGGAAAAGAATGGTAGTATACAGGTGACAAGAAATGCTGCTTGAAGCAGCAGCAACCACAATGCCACATCCATCACACCCAGAAGCTTCTAATGACACACAACAGTGCCACGTCCATCAAGATCATCACCATCATCACCATCATCATCAGAGAGCTGAGCTGAGCTGAGTGAGTGGTTTTGTGTTTCTGCACTGCAACTTGCAGAAAAGGTGAGGCAGAAAAGCACAAGCACCCAGCACACAAGTTGGCCAAAAAACAAAACATGTTGTGCCCAAGTGCTGCCCCCTGTGCTATTCTCCACTGTTGTCACAGGGATCTGCCTCACATCTGTGGTGGATGCCCTGCCTTTTCTCAATGAGGGAAAGATGAACAGGGCCAAAAAGGAGTGAGGGAAAGATTTGCAAAAGTTGATGGAAAAAGGAGGCTGCCAAAGCATGAGATGCCAAAGCTAGTGCAAGTCTGACTCATTTCCAATTCCATTGTTTGGTGGATCCAGCATCATCATCATCATCATCAGTATTAGTAGTAGTAGTAGTAGTAGAGATCTATAGAAGAGAATAACTTCCTATTTTTTAAAGGACTTAATTGCACACTAACAATGCAAAGGTCAATCCACAAGGTTAGAAAAAAATGGAGATGCAATCAAGCAAAAAGTTGACCAGATGAGCAAGGCAGGTAAATGCTGGATGACTCACTGCAAACTCATTTTGGTTTATCCGAAAAAATTACACTTGCAAACATCGGACGGCGCAAGCACCGAGATGGATGAATGATAGATCATAGATGTGGATAAGTATGTGTGAGATGCTGCATGAGTAGGGTTTCCAATAACATGAGCTGACCAGAAAGCAGGATCCATGAAGATTGAAAATTAAGTCCACTTGACAATGTACATGATCAGTACTGAGCACTAGTATTCCCTGTCTGTCTCAAGATACTACAGCATCAAGTTCTTGCCATTCTTCTCCCTTACATTCTTCAGTATCCACACCAGAAATTATGGACTACTACCAAAGCATCACCAGCATCATACCTCTCTCTCTCTCTCTCTGCTATGTTCTGAAAAATCCCCATAATCAATTACTTACTTCAATAATAATACAGGCAGTGAGGCTACAGCAAGGGCCATATTACACTAGACATCTGATCGGTGTCGTCGAAATGGATCGAAAGGTTGCATCTTTTAATACAACATGCTCCGGTTCGCCGCCAGCTGATCATGCAGAGGGCCACACTGGATGCCTTGATCTTGCAAACCCATGCCGTAGCTCGGCGGCGAATTGTATGGCGCATTCGCTCCGCCGTGCTGCTTGGTGTCGGCCGGCAGCGAGAACTGCCCCGTTGCCGAGCTCGGAGCCGGTGCGCTGGACTGGGTGATCATGGATGACTGGGACGGCGAGGGGGGCTGGTCGTCCAGGTGCACCGTGGTGATGTCGTGGATGCTCGACCGCCTCTTGTCCTTGCCGCCGCCGGAGCTGAGCCTGATGAAGTACTTCTGCGCGTGGCTGGCCACCTGCGTCGGCGTCCTCGTCTGCACGAAGTTGCGCGAAATGTTCCTCCAGTCCCCTTTGCCGTACTTCTTCAGGCCTAGGAGGAACAACCTGGCCACAAGAACAGAGCATATGATCAGGTTCAGCAACTAGTAGTATTGATCATGCACTCTTGCTTCACATCAGGCTACATGACACCAAAGAACAGAGCATAATGAACTCTTGCTCTACATCAGGCTACATGAGCATCAAACATCATGCTACATATGACTGTCTCATCAAATTCCTAGTGAACAAAGACAAGTAATTCACTTTCAGAAAACAGTTCTTCCATATGGTTGAATTATTCTTCCAATTTGGCATGTTTTAAATGCTGGCATAGCCATCTGATGATGTAAAGCCTGTTGATTGATGGTGAATTCAAGAGAAGAAAATTTATATCACTAGCTAGTCTTGTGCATGACATGGATGGAGCAGAGCAATCACTCTCACAAGTCATTGAGATCAGAGAAGAAGAATCGTGGTGGTAGTAGTGCTCACTTGTGCTCGTCCTCGGTCCACGGCACCCCCTTCTTCCTCTCCTGCTCCGGCGTGCGGCCGCCGTGCCGCCTCCCGCCGCCGCAGCCGCCGAACCGGTAGCCGTGCCGGAAGTCCCCGGCGCCGGCGTGCCCCCCGCTGCCGTCCCACTGCAGGGTGAAGGCGGCGGCCGCGCCGGCGCCCGCCGCGCCGGGGCCGTAGCCGGGGAAGGTGCCGGACTCGATCTGGTGGACGTCGAGCTCGAGGCTCTTGAAGTGGTCGACGACCTCGCGGACCGTCTTGCCGGTGGCGTGCGCCACCTTGTCCCAGTCCGGGCTGCGGAGGTCGAGCCCGGCCAGCGCCCGCTCGAACTGCTTGTTCTCGTCCGCCGTCCAGGCGCGCGGCTGCCCCGTGAACCAGCCGCCCGCGCCCCGCGGCCCGCCGTAGTAGCCCATCGCCGCCGGCGGCAGCACCTCCATCCACGGCTCCCTCATCATCATCGCCGCTCACCTCACCTCGGCTCGCCTGCAAGAAGAATTCACCCAGCTTCAGCTCCAGAGATGTCCACAGATTAGCACAAAAAGTTGGATTCAGACGACAGCGGAGCAGCTCAAGATTCCGTGGACAATAGCAGGATCGATCTCCCCCGCCTTGGTGCGAATCAGATGAGGAAGATTTGGAGGAAAAGGTAGGAGCGGAATCTTTCTGACTGTACGACATGATTGACGAGCAAGCAGGGCCGGGATTCAAGAACAGTACCCCGAATTACCCCAATCAACACCAACCAGAACCCCGAATTACTCAACCGCAAAACCAAATTCAGCTCCCCCCGAACAAACCTCCTCCGAATTCGCCGGAAAAGGGGCGGAATTTCACCGGCACGGGGACCAAAGAAACAGACAAAATCGAGGAGCAGAGGAGAGCAGAGCAGCTCCGAGAAACCAAGATCACTGACCTCCTCTCGATCTCCGGCGGCTGCTGCTGCTGCTGTCCCTGGCCGGCTGGAGGACAAAAGGCGATCTCCCTGGGTTGCTGCTGGGATTGCTCGCGCCAGAAAAGAGACGGATCTCCTCGCTCGCTCCCACCCAGAGGCAGCAGCGGCCAGGGGGAGA